TTTTAAAAAAATTTGTAAAACAAAAACAAAAAACTAGAACAAAAAAAACCCACAAACCACCTCCCCCCACACACATAAAATACACGTGCACCATACTGTGGTGTACGCCATGCACATGCGCTGCAGTGTGTTGTTAGAACGCATCGCATGAGTTTTGTTTTTCCTTTTAAAAAAAACATTATTTTAACTGTGGCAGCGCATGGCAAAGCTTTGTGACGGATTGCCATGCGTTGTGATGCCTTGTGTTGCAATTAAATATACGCCATTATCATTTTGTCACAACACAAACACCAACACAGCGCAAAAACAAATTTTAACATAAATCGCTTATTTCCTGTTTTGCGTTTCTTCATTTTTTTACCTTTTCGCAAAAAAGTGCATTTTCAAATTTCAAAATATTTGTTATTTATTAACTCAATACAGTTTTTTGTGTGTGTACTAATACTGATTTTAGTGTGCTTTATCAATTGAATTGTGTATTTTTATCAGTTTATTAATTTGAGAAACATTTGCGCAATTATAACAGGGCCTACAAATTTAGTAGCACCATCTTTTTATCCTGCCGTGCCTTCAGAAAATATATGGTTTGTGGGATCTTCTACAAAACGCTAGCAACGCAGCAGTTGAAAATCAAATCAATGGGAAAAATTGCAAAAATAGTGTGGCCAGTGAGTTGCAAAATGTTCGAGGGCTTGGCAGCGAAAGGGTTAAAAAAGGACTTGCCGCACAGGAGAACTTCTTCAGAAAATGTCTGAAGCCCTCCTATTTATATGGGATCCTTATCTTGATTACTGTTTTGGGGTCTATGGTATTGCTGAGACTGTATTCCCTTTTATGAAGTTGGATGTTTCAACCTTATTCTTCTTTTGTTCAGATTACTTCTGTTTCTCTCCCTATCTTGATGGACTCTTCTATTCGGAGGTATCCTCAAGTATAATTCTCAAGCTCAGACATTTCATTGTTATTGGAGAATTCACTTTGGTCTGCATTGCATTAGGTTCAAGCTTCCTCTCTGAAGGTTTAAGAACTTTCTTTACTAGTCAGCGTGACCTTTCAATTCCTTCGTCTGTTGGGCTCTCCTTAGTCAATGAGGTACCTCCCTTCTTCTTTCTATGGAACTATATGTTCCCTGAACTCACTACACATGTCATGTGGTTACCTGTTGTGTTCTCTCAAGAGGAAGGAATAATTCTGAAGGCTCATTGAGGACCTAATTTAATTTAAACATTTTTCTTTTTTCTGCATTATGCTGAAAATTTCCTAATGCTGACTTTAGGATTACATCCCTTCACTTATCAGCAAAGCACTTTAACCTTTGGGTATAAACCGCAGGATTATGTCTGTTCAAGGCAGATTTGCTGTATATTAACCACATCCTTAGAACACCCCTGGGGTTTTTCTGACTGACCCAATTCTTGTCCTATTTCCTTCCCTTTATTTAGGGGTGTCGATCACCCTACACTTTTCCTTTTTTACTCTTTATCTTGGATCTTCCTCTTCCTGAAGTAAAAGATTAAAGATATCTACTGAGGCTTAGCAGCTCTCTATTTGAATTTTATATAAACATGTCCTATCTGATCAAGTTTCCTAAAGTTAAAGGTTAAGCCTGCTAAGCTTAAACCTTTTCCTACAGTGGTTCAAATGTTTTTTCACTAATGGACATATTTTCTTTTTCTTTTGTTGGCCATGTTGCAGTTTGGTCCAGTTCTGCTGTCATCGGGTATTACACAATTGCTTCTCTATTTTGGGAACGGTTTCTAGTCCTTTGTTTCCTCTATTAAAACCCATAGTTCTTAGGTAGTCTTTTCCCCATGTAACACAGCTAGCTTCTCCTTAGCTAGCCCCTTTCTCCATCTAGCCTTCCTTTCGGGAGATGCTTTCCTCTATACCATTTGTAGTATGATTTCCATGCTTGATGTTTCTGTGACTATTGCCCACCCCTCAGTTGGATAGCTTTTAGACAAACTATTAGTTCATGAATTCCTACCATTCCTTTGTACCTCAATGGACAATAGTGAAAATGTTTTTTGTACATACTAAAGAAAATCTTTTTTTGAAGTCCTGTTTTCTTACAAAAACGAGGCATGTTTTGAGGCAGTGTAATACAGTTTTTGGTTTGCCAGTGTCTCAACCACCTGAAAGCAGCAGTATAACCTGTCAGTCTAATATTATGCAACAGTCCTGTGTCCCTCAAAGGACTTTCAGAAAAAGAATTTACAATAAGTACAAAAAAATAAAAACCTGATATGTTTTAAATACACAACTAGTGCAAATATCTAAATTTTACTTTATTTCAGCCTCAAATTCCTTGTGCAGAATTACACAGACATGTAGAGGGAGGAACTGCAATTGAGGACAATCGGGGGGCCCTGTATGTACATGTTTTAATAAAGAACATGGTGACAGAAAGAGAGGTGACATTATCAGTTTGTTACTACTCCTTAACTGTCCAATCACAGACTAGGGTCGGGAAAGTAACCTGGCTGTTTTTATCTAGAGCAGAGAAAGAGAAAATGTAGGTCACCAGGTTGACTGTACAGTACGGGTGGGCTGTGTAAATCTTAGGACTAGGCAGACACAAATGCTTTGGAAGGTAAAACCATTCCCATAAATGTTTTTAAATTGTTTGTGTGGGGTTTAGCTTTATTGATTTTTTATAAATACACAACAGCATTCAATGGTGTCATTTTATATTTGCTGAAGTTCAGCCTTAAAAACATTTTCTAACATACCTTAGAACAATTTAGATAAATAAGATTTAAAAGAATTATCTACTACATCTCTAACCATGGATGAATTTTACTACAGAAAATTAAATGCTTAATTCTAAAACCAACAGTGGAGCAGAAACAGAATTCACAGACTAGCTGTTTGGCGTAACCCAATTCTTTAGCTAATGGCAGATTTGCATTCAGTAAAAGTCAGCGAGTATCCTATCCAATTTTTAAATGCTTCCAAGCATTTGGATTAGGTGTGATACATTCTGTTCACTTTTTGCTTTAAACACTTTAAAAGAAAATTTGTGAGAATCTGTTGAAAATTATGAACCTTTAACCGTTCTTCTGTTTAAAAGGGTAATTCCACTTTCCCAGACGAATTTGAGAAAATGGAATTACCCCCACCAATCTGCCCCCTCTTTCAGCCTCCCGCTGGTCTTGCCGTTTTTGCCCTGTGCTGCCGGTGTACGATCCATACACTGTACGACAGCCCTGCGCTCAGCATTTCAAATTGTGCTCGCAAATGGCGAGCACTCATTGGACAGCACAGTTAACTGACTGCATTGATCAATGAGAGGTGCTTCTTTTCCAAATGCGCTTCTCATTGGCCAGTGTGTTGAGGTTACCCGCTAACCAGGGGTAGGGGTATGGAGGAGCAGAGCTACGAGACAAGGCTACTAAATTTAAACATGTTCCCATTGGAGGTGAGGAGATTAAGGGGGGATATGATCTCCATGTACAAAATGTTCAATGGTGGTAGCAACAATAGCGATAAACTGTTTAAAATTAACTCCATTACAAAAACTAGAGGCCACCACCTAAAATTGGTGGGGAAAAAATTCCAGCACAAGGGGCGAAGGGGGTTCTTCACAGTAAGATCAGTTAGGGCCTGGAACTCACTGCCACAGGCGGTGATTTCAGCAAATAATGTGGAATTGTTCAAGAAACGTTTGGACGATTTCTTAAGGGACCGTAATATACAGGGGTACAGGTACTCATAGAATGAGATCCTAATAGGTTGGACTTGGACTGTCTTTATTCAACCTCAAATACTATGTAACTATGTAACCAATTAGTGCTTGTCATTTGCAAGCAAAATTTGAAATACTAAGTGCAGGGCTATGGTGAGTGGAATGACCATTCACTAAAAGGTAAGACCAGGTGGAGGTAATTCAATTTCACTCTTAGGGTGAATATATGATTTTTTTTTTCTTACTTCTGCATGTGAATATTTTCACCAGCAATATATTGGTTAAACCAGTGCAATTTACACAATGTAATGCTGAATGGTGTAGTTAGATTTTCACCCCAATGAAAGAAATATGCAGGAGTAAACTAATATCTTCTGATCTGCATACTTGTTTCAGACCAAAGACTCAGAAAATAGTGAAGCACTAAGATCAGCATGACAGCAAACTGGCATTTCTAGTAAAACGGTCAGCAACGACAGTCTCGGTATTTCTTTAATGACAAGTTTCCCTTACAGCTGTGATTCAATACCAGATATACCAACCCGTCATAGAATATCTGTTGGTCATTGCTTAAAATTTTGTGTCACTATCCCAAGTTATTATTTACCTGTGCTTGCGTTTGGTTTCCAAATTTAGGCCACATGTTCCACTTCAGCTCTGCTCGGGCTGTTCTGCTGACAAACCCTTTAATGTCTTCATCTGAAACAAAGAAATGGAGTAATCATTGAATTTCAAAGTATACCCTGCTCAATCCCCAAAGTCGGACAACACTGACCCAACCAGCCACATCAATCAGGTGCAGACTCCAAACATATGTGCGGGCGTAACAAAATCCTAAAATTCCAAAGTAGAGCCGCAGTTCATAAATTCTCTGTGATTAAGCCCAACTGGTGGAAAGGGTGAAAGGCTATAGGATCTGTGTAGGGTGATTTTATGGTGTACTTGGATGGTATGAACTTTAAATAAATCTCATTTTTTTTATGAACTGTCGGATGTGCTGCTCTACGTTGAAGTTTAAATACCATTCCATGTTCATTGAATTGCACATAACTTGTCACATAGGATTCTGAACAAGACATTACACAAGAAATTAGCAGGGTTATTCACAAAAGGAGAAAGTTTGGAGAAGTGAACAATCTAGGCCAAAATAGCTGATCTGGAAAAATTCTCCAATTCAGCTCATTTTCCAGATCAGCTATGTTGTCCTAGATTGTTCACTTCTCCAAACTCTTCACACTTTCGTGAATAGCCCTGTGAGTCTCTAAACCCAAGACTAACTTCAAGTTACAAGTACCTTGCAGATCACATTACTGTCAACAAGACACATCTTTATCCTCACTACATCAGTTGACAGATGTGTAACTTCATAATAATAATACTGTTAAATTGTGCGACTGAGCACTACATGTTTAAAAACTACACGTCTGCCAATATGTCCTACAGTCAATGAAAATTCTATGAACTAGGGATGCACTGAAATTTTGTCCTCCAAAACATTTAGTCCAAAAGTACCGTAACGGACGAAAATGCAGTGCATTTCCAGCTTCTCTCCTCCCCACTGGGCACCAGTCTGTGTCCCCTCCGATGGCCGCTTTTCTCCCCCACCTGGGTTGGCAGAGGCAGCAAGGATACGGGAGGACACAGACTGGCACCCAGTGGGGAGAAGAAAAGCTTTCAGGATGCCAAGCGGGCCGATGCGGGGAGAGGACAGCTTTAACCTGCCATGGGAGGCCAAGCTCTCCTCTGGCACCGCTCGGCTCTGCCTCCTGTGACAGGCGGTCAGGATGCAAAGCGGAGTGGTGCAGTAGGACAGAGCGGTCAGCTGTCAAAGGAGGCCTAGTTCTCCTCCACTGCCCGGCTCCATCTCGTGTGACAGCGAGTCAGGATGGAGCATTGAGTACAAGTGCTCAGCGATCAGGACGATCGTTGTTTCAACCTACATATGAAATAGATGATCGTTGTGATCATCAATTTCATATGTAGGTTGAAACACAGTCATTAACCGAAAAAGAAACAGCTGTGTACGAGGCTTAAAACTGGAGGAACAGCCAAACTCTGCTACTAAGATGAGGTTGTGGAAGACAGTTCCATGTAACAGGTCATGTACCATGGTGTCACAGTCCAGCAGGGTCAATACAATCCTGGATCTCAGCTGCGGAACTAAACACTCAAGGATTAAGGGTTCGGTCAGTCTGGCAGAACCCCAATACACTTAGTGCGATGGGGGATCGTTCCACATCATGTACCCGTCCTAAAAGTGATACCTGGCTATAGGCAAATGAAGGTCACGGGGTGTAGCTAGATGATATGTTAAGCAGGGTATCTATTCAGAGGGGAAGCGTGAGGTAAATTGTAGTTTCTCAGGAGGCCTCGCAAGGAGGCGCCTGCCTACAACAGCTTTCCGCTCCTCTGTACTCAATAGTATGATGAACTAGCCTGTAGCATTCACTAATATACTTTCGGAAGATTTCACGTAATATTTCTGACAAAAGGTTCCAGCAGTGTAACATATGCAATCCAGCAATCACTCCTGATATAGCACGTGCAATTTGTACTAACGGACACAGTTCATCAATAGTATATAGCAGACTATGGTTAGAAGTGGCTAGTAATAGGAGGGGGAAGATCCCCTGGTACTTGCGGTTGTGGTGTGGAGTAAGTTCAAGAGGAATCAACTGGTATCCTGGTATGGCAGAGGTGAGTCTCAGCGGATGGTCAGGAGTTGAGTCCCTGTAGGGCAGTTTGAACCCCACCTCTCTACTGCTATGGCGGTCTGTGGTCCTGTTTCTCACAGAGTCAGTCGCTCGACGTTCCACATCGAACGCCGAGTGACTGTCTCACCTGTGTTTTTGAGGAGGCGCCGTGCCCAGTGGGAGGAGTCGGCCGTGACGTCACAGCCGAGGCGGCACGCCGCGGGCACTTAGCTCCGGTCCAGGTAAGTCTATGACACGTGGTAAGACTGAGCACAGCACAGCAACAAGACTCAAGGTAGTTATACTGAATCAGAAAAGGTCTCTTCCAGTCTCTGCTCTAATTCATCCCAAAAGTGTTCCATAGAATTGAGGCCAGGACTCTGTGCAGGCCAGTCAAGTTCCTCCACCCCAAACTTCATCCATGTCTTTATGGACCTTGCTTTGTGCACTGTTGCACAGTCATGTTGGAACAGGAAGGGGCCATCCCCAAACTGTTCCCACAAAGTTGGGAGCATGACATTGTCCAAATTGTCTTTGTATGCTGATGCCTTAAGAGTTACCTTCACAAGAAATAAGGGGCCAAGTCCAACCCCTGAAATACAACTCCACACCATAATCCCCCCTCCACAAAACTTTACGCTTGGCACAATGCAGTCAGGCAAGTACCGTTCTCTTGGCACCGGCCAAACCCAGACAAGTCCATTGGATTGCGAGACAGAGAAGTGTGATTTGTCACTCTTCTGAAAACACGTGTCCACTTCTCTAGTCCAGCGGCGGCGTGCTTTTCACCACTGCATCTGCCGCTTTGCATTTGCGCTTGGTGATGTAAGGCGACTTCTGACTGTGGAATATTTAGCAGCAAGGACATTTTACGGATGAACTTATTGCACAGTTGGCAACCTATCAGGGTACCACGCTTGAATTCACTGAGCTCCTGAGAGCAACCCATAATTTCACAAATGTTTGTAAAAGCAGTCTGCATGCCTAGGTGCTTGATTTTACACACCTGTGGACATAGAGGTGATTGGAACTCCTGAATCCAATGATTTGAAGGGGTGTCCCAATACTTTTGGCAATATAGTGTATGTGTGCGTACAGACCCGAGTGGTGTTAGATATACTGGAGCTAGCTAAGAAGTTTTCTCCTAAAGCAGCACTTGAATCTATGTTTACACATCTGGAACGTACTATTAACTACCTGGCCGGGAGCTTCTTGGATGTAACTGGGCGTGTATACACGTCCTGTTACATCCGCCCGCTCGGGCGTGCCGCGCACGAGGGGGAAATGCCCGCTATTTGATAACAGGCAGCGATTCCCGTTAATATACAAGCGATCCGCCGGCTATAGAGCCGGCGGATCGCTTGTATGAGGTCCCGTGACGTGCGCCCCCCCACCCTCTAGCTGTCAAGCAGGTCCCGGGCTCTGGTGTGAGCCCGGGACCAGCATGTCACAGGGGATCAGAGGGAGGTTGGTTCACGATCTCCTTCCGGTCCCCTCTCCGCTGTCAGAATGCGGAAGTGGTGTATATTACATCACCTCCGCATTCTCGTGTCACTCTCCAGCTTCAGATGCTGGAGAGAAGCTGATGAAGCAGATCTCTGCTTCATCAGCTTCTTCAGGGTGACATTAGGGGGTCTTGGAGACTCCTGTCTCCATAAAGAGGACCTGTCACCTCTTTTGCTATCACATAGAGGGGTTTCTCAGCCCCCTCTGTGATAGCAATAAAGTTAAGTGGAAAAAAAAAATAGGAAAAAAATTTAAAGTTTCCCCCCAAATGTTTAAGTTACACATAAAAAAGAATTTTACATTTTTTTTTTTAAAGTCCCCACCCCTACATACACGCATTAAGACATGCGTCAGGTGCGCATACCTGCGAAAATGACGATTTGTGGGTTGCTGGAGGCCACTGAGTACCGAGATCTGCAATCAACGATGCAAGGTATTTTTAATACCTTACTGGACAGGGAATCCCCCCCTCGGATTCCCCATGGTATATTATATACCGCTTTAATTATATGGCAGCTAAAGAAGAGGTTATGCGGGAATCCCTTCCCTTTTTGTTTGTCTGCTAGTACGACTGGAAAATCCGCCTTTTTACGTTTTCCAGAAGATTTGAAAGACTTCAGTTCCTCTCTAGGTATTCAGAAGCCGGACCTTTCACAGTGGAACGAAGTAATCCCTATATCACAGACCACATTGGACCACAGGTGGCAGCAGGCTACTAGAAAGAAAAACAAACACAGAACTATCAAACCTAACAGCCCTGTAAGGTAGTTTATGTATTATAAAGTTCTTATAATATACCCCAGTGGTTGACGGAAACCAGGATACAACAAAGACTTAAAATGCTCAATGCAAACAAAGCAGTGGGTCCGGACATTTCGGCTCGACTGACCTGAGGTGAAAGCCGAAGCTGGAACGGCCGGCCGACAACCTGCTACTGAGTGCCTGGCGCCTTTCCTCCCCGCACTGCTCAGCCTCCTGCCACAGTGTGGGCGGAGACAGCTGTCCACCGTCGCAGGAGGCGGAGTCATCAACCGTTTGGCTCTGGCCACTTGCATGCAGAGACAGATCAGCGTCCCCTGGTTAGCAGCTAACCACGGACGCTGATGTGTCATTACACTGAGAACCCGGTGGAGCCGCTGTGAAATCACGGCGGCTCCACCAGGTTCTCAGTGTGTAATGACAGTTCAGCATCTCCTGGTAACCTATTAACTAGGGGAAGGTGGACTGTCATTACACACTGAGAACCTGGCGGTCCTGCCATGATATCAGTGTGTAAAAAAATTACGGTACGCAAAACTGTAAATAAGCGACTTGATAAAAAATTGTTTTCACGCTGTGTTGGTGTTGTGATAAAATGATACAGGCGTATATTTATTGCAACACAAAGATCACAACGCATGGCAATGCATCACAAAGCTTTGCCATGCGCTGCCACAGTCAATTTAATTTTTTTTAAAGAAAAAAATACATTAAAAAAATCATGCACTGCGATGCGTTCTA